AGCACATTGACAGACTGCTTCAGTATTGAGCTGTAAATCACATGCCGCTCAGATCCGCTGGTCTTCACTGGAGAAACATCAGCACTCGGAGCTCTTGAGGAACGAGGCCTCGTGAGCAGCTCCGGCATGTGTTCCTCTGCAGACCAAGCGCTCTCTGCCTTCCCAGCGTGCTTTGCTGAGGCTCAGGACGCTGCTGCGACTGTAGAGACCGCCCCGCTCGCTCTCTGCGCTGGTCTGAACCCCCTCGGTGACCTCTGACCCGTCCAGCGTCCAGCTCACCGTCGCCCCCTGTGGAGAGTAAGAGCTGAGCAGGCAGAGCAGAGCGGAGGAGTCTCCAGAGACCAGCAGAGACACGGAGGGAGACACGGAGGGCCCGGCTGAACACACACACACACACACACACACACACACACACACACACACACACACACACACACACACACACACACACACACACACACACACACACACACTTTCACACAAACAGTGAAAAAACGACTCAATATGATCTTATTGAACATCACTTTGTTGAGATTCAACAGTTTTTTAACATTTTTATTGTAATTTTTCAAAGTCATATTTGTCTCATGTTTCCTAATACATCCTTCATGTAGAAATTCAGTCACTTTTGTTTTTCACTTCAGTGGATATTTTTTAATCTTTCACCACATTTTTTTATTCGATTTTCTGCATTCATGATTAATATATTCTTCTTTCTAAAGTGAATCTTAAATATGTCCTGCTTGATCAGTTTAATCAGTTATTTAGTCTCCATAGATCTGAACAGACTTAATACAGTTTTTTACAATCACTTTGTTACTATTTTCAGAACCTTGATGTCATTTTTCACAACTCTAGACACAAAACTCACATCCAATGATCAAAAAGCACATTTTTCAAAACTCTAACCCTTTTTTCAATTGCTTGGATACAATACACATAAAACTTAGATCATTTGTTCATTCAACAAAGATCACCTGTTCAATATGACACAACTTAACATCAAAGTACTACTATTTCAAAAGGCAATTCACACATTACATTTCAAATGAGTGTCTATTCATTTCCTTACAATGATCTAACTATCAATTGATACAACTGCTCAAAATGATAAGTAACTGTTGCATTACTCTTAATGCATAGTTGTATGGAAACAGACACACAATCTTCCATGTTTACAGTAAATCATGAAAGTTTCAAGATAATGAGATTCATTGTCACCAATTAGCATGGAGCATGAACCAATTAGACTACAATATCCATGGATGTAGCCTAATATTTTATCATACTGTAATGCTTCATCAGACACTGTGTCTATGGTGCCAAATACTGTACCACCTTTTCAGACTATGTACAGTATTGACAGTACAGTACTGTATATATGCAGGCCCTTGTAACTGCGTGTCCAATTCTGCCAATCACAGCAGAGCAGTGTCAGGCCTGGACTCGCCATGCCAAAGGTTTTTTCCAAGATGTCATTTTCCAACATCCATTGTGATGTAGATGAGAACCTGTGGCCAAATCCACAACACAGAGTTGATGACAGTGTAGAAGTACAGTAATCCCTCCTGTTTAGTTTCTTACAGCAAGTTGAGGAACACTGCATTTGATGTTTTACAGTACTGTCTTTTCTTTTCTATTTCATAGCTAATTATTTTTGCTTTGATTCAAAAAACCATGTTGTGATTGTACTGTAGTGTTTTGCATCAATATATTACAAACTTTGTTCACAATGATTCCACTGTGTCTGTAATATTCTCTCTACTACTGCAGTACTTTTACAGAGATGTATTTACTGTACATGTAGTACCATAATGAAACCTGTATCACCTATTTTGCTCTACAATATTTAATGATTGTACGAACAATGACACAGTGAAACTATCGGTTGCTTGTGTGTGGGTGATCTATAGTTGTGTTTCAATGGTATTCCACAGTTAATTTGTTTTTTGAACTAATGATTGTGCAAGTGCAAGATTTATTTAAAGATGTGAATGCACAATGCAATGTTTTGAACATTAGACAGCCTGTGTTACAAGTGATTATCGTTTTGAGTTTTGTGTCTAGAGTTTTAAAAAATGACATCAAGGTTCTGAAAATAGTAGCAAAGTGATTGTAAAAAACTGTAATGTAAGATTATATCTAACCAGAGGCCACGACCATTACTATAGAACTAAGCTGACCAACTTAACCACTTCTAATGGTAACTTTGTCTAATTATGCCGTGGTTTCCCACACACAGTTAGTCAGAATAATGCTCACTCTGTTTAGATCGGTCTAACAACACTGTTGTTCTGAACTATACATGACTAATGCCGGATGTGTTAGCCGGACCTCTGAAACTTCAGTCGGCTGCTCCTCTGCTTGACATATATGCCAGTCCATCACTAACCTGAGCGTAGAAGTGTGCTGTTATGGACTAAATGTAACCTACAGTTAATAGTTTCATTCAGAGTGAGTCAAAATAAATCCAAATGTAACAATTGATTATAAGTCAGGTAAATGCATCGTGCCAATTACATAATCAACTCAAATATAATCAATACAAAACATCAAATGCTCAGCGATAAAGAGTAAAAGATGCATATAGTCTACCTGACATTAGAAAAACACATGATGCCGAGTGTCTTGAGGACGTTCAGCATCACAGACCGATCTACAAAATCCCCCGAGGCTCTTGAGGCGTTGTCCTTCAGTTCTCAGACAGAGACAAAACATCCCCGATGTGGAGAATCAACTTACAATAGGAGTTTGCATTGACTAGAGTTATAGATTCAGGAGTTCACACCTCGTCGAGGAACAGGAGGAAGTTTGGATGAAGGACTCTGGGAAAAAGTGCAAATCCATTAAGCAAAGTGTGTGATGATCCTCATGTCTGATCATAAACTGCAGGAACACACATGGATTTGGTGTAAAATTTGGGGATTAACAGCGACATTTCAATCCAACTACGGTAAAGAAAATCTCACAGCAGATATTCAGGTTAATATACTAAAGTTGGTCTTGTAAATGTATTCACTGAATTATATCATTTTTAACAGTTTGGCTATTAGAAGATTGAAAAAAAGACTGATATTTACTCTGTTCTCACTTCAGTAATTGTGTTTTGTGTCTGTTAATGAGTGACTGTCTTCAGGGAAATGATGTGGAGTGTGTTTGCATATTGATCAGATCTTCAGTGTGTGTTATAGTGCTGTGAGTTTAACACTTCATCACTGACACACACAACAATCTTCATCAACATGACCTTCATCATCATCTTCATCTGGACTCTCACAGCGTTTGCTCAAGGTTTGTGGAGCCCAAGTTTGATATCAATTCATTTCTTCAAGTATATTGTCAAAGTTTTGAGTGTATTTTCTTGTTGTGTGTTTCAGAGTGTAGAGGACAGATCACCGTCACTCAGAGTCCCTCAATAACAGCAGAACAACCAGGAGGAACTGTGAATATCAAATGTAAAACCAGCAGAGATGTGGCCTGGGGTGGTTCTTATCATTATTTATCCTGGTACTTACAGAAACCTGGAGAAGCTCCTAAACTCCTGATTTATTACACAAACCGCCTCCAGTCAGGAACTCCATCTAGATTCAGTGGCAGTGGATCTAACAGTGATTTCACTCTGACCATCAGTGGAGTCCAGACTGAAGATGCTGGACATTATTACTGTCAGAGTTATCACAGTGGTTATGTGTTCACACAGTGATAAAGAGTCGTACAAAAACCTCGGTCAGTCAGAGTCACAGTGACTGAACTGAAACTGCAGCTGCTCAAAGGAGGATCTGAAATAACATCGTCACACTTGCATCTGAAATAAAACCATCTAAATTAATCTGACACTAATAATTAATAATTCTACAGGTCAGAAGTCAAAGACTTACTTGAGAGAAACAACTAAAAACCCCATCAATGTCTCTGTCAGAGTCTCTATCAGAATCGATTTTATTGATTTTTATTATTATTTGTGTCTTCCTTCTCTTACACTTTAAATTGTTTAGTTTGTTCTGCAGGGTTTTGTGTTTGTTCTCATATTCCTACTTTCTGGAGAATATAAATGTGTTGTAATCTGGATCTGCTCAGCTGTGAGAGTTTGTGCTTTTATATATCAGTGACATGATTGAGATCGAGTGATTTCAGTTTGTCCGTTACCGCCTTATATTAATAATAGACTTTCATTTTCCTAGTGAAAAAGTCAAATCATGAAGCAATAACGGCACAGAAATATGTATCTAAAACGGAGGTGTGATGCTAGTGTTCTTGGAGAATTACTAAATGTTAATTTATGGTGTAAAATTGTGTTTTCAGAGCGTTCAAGCACTGTTACAACTTCAACTTGACCTGTGACCTCTGAGATTACCTCTGACCTTTGCCAATGTGGAGTTCGTCATAATGCCTCTGTCACTCATATGCAGCTCAATTTTCATAATTAACAGATTCAGACAAATGATGGATGCACAGGTGTATCATGCGGAAGAAGAAGAAACTGACATGCGTATGAATTCTCCCCTTCACATCTGTCACAATCATTTCATTTATGCAGTTTAAATCAATCATACATCTCACATATTTCAACAGGACATCTGGCTTTATTGTCATTTATGAATTTCTTAACCAAACTTAAAAACACGAGGACAAATTCCTTGAGTGCAGCTGATGACGCTTTAAAGGGACGATCGAGTGATTAAGAAGATTATAATATACAAATAAAACATCCTTCGATTCCTCATCCTTTAGTTACTCCCAACATCCATTTCTGTGCCGTTGCTGAACGTGAATAACAATGATGCAAACTAACATCAGTTGAGTGTTTGATGAGGGGAAATGAAGGTTTTAATTGTGATGTGTGTCAGTTCTGCTCTTCTGTCAGTGACTGTGTCACATTAGAGAGGAAACGGCTTTGAATGTGTGTGTCCCTCCCCTGTGACTGAAGCTCAATATCAGAGCGTCTGTCCGACTGTGAATCCCACATCTCTGTCCTTCAGCTTCACTCATTCCCAGTAAAGATGACGACACACACACTGATCTTCTGCTCTCTGCTGCTGCTCCTCAACGGTGACTCTTTTACTACTTTACATTGACTTGTTTTAGCAAAGATCATTCATTTATTCTGGTGATTTTCTTGTTGTGTGTTTCAGAGTGTGGAGGACAGATCACCGTCACTCAGAGTCCCTCAATAACAGCAGAACAACCAGGAGGAACTGTGAATATCAAATGTAAAACCAGCAGTGATGTGTACAGGAGTGGTTCTGTTGATATCTTAGCCTGGTACTTACAGAAACCTGGAGAAGCTCCTAAACTCCTGATTTATTACACAAACCGCCTCCAGTCAGGAACTCCATCTAGATTCAGTGGCAGTGGATCTAACAGTGATTTCACTCTGAGCATCAGTGGAGTCCAGACTGAAGATGCTGGACATTATTACTGTCAGAGTTATCACAGTGGTGGTGTGTTCACACAGTGATAAAGAGTCGTACAAAAACCTCCGTCAGTCAGAGTCACAGTGACTGAAATGAAAGCGTAGCGTAAGTTCCGCCAGGAAGACTCAATTGTTACGTCATGTATTACCTTCTCATCTATCCAATCGCGTTCTAATACGTGAAGTATAAAAGATCCTTACTTACACTCGTCTGAGTTCGCAGATGCTGGCGCTTTCACTTTCCACCATCCTCCCCACCTCCACCAAGACGGTCTTCGTTCCATCCTTTCCACCACCACCAGGTCGGTCCCTTCCAAAACCCCAAGGGGGGGTCGGCTGCGCCCCTGCCTTCATCTTCAGGCAGGATATGCAGAATCCGTACCCTCGGATCGCGAGTTATGGACGGGGCCTACGCCAAAGAACTTTATTGCATATATGGCTTGCTGGGCTGTTAATAAAATGCATTATTGTACAGTATCTTATCTCCCGAGTCTTTCTGGTAGAACTGAAACTGCAGCTGCTCAAACACACACACTCATGGTGAGGATTTTCATGGATAATAAATGAAATATAAAACTTTCATTTCAGTTTTTTACATGCTAAATACTTTAATCTATAACACTCTTAATCTTATTATATTTATCAAATACTATATTTGTGAGGTTCATAATTTGTCCGCATGTTCTTGTTTCATCATGTTTCTGCAGGTGTTTTCACGCTCCACTGACTGAAGTTTATTTATCAAATGTGAGCTTAAGCCCTGATCCACACTCAAAAAAATGATATGTTGGCTTTACTTAATTTTTTTATGTAAACAGGTTCCACCGGTTCCACATAACTATGTTTCGTTAAACAAACATAATATGTTCATGTAACTTCAACATCATGGAATTTGGTCATTTTAAGCGACCCAATTAAACTCTGAGCTAATGAGTTACAGTTTTTTACAATCACTTTGCTACTATTTTCAGAACCTTGATGTCATTTTTCAAAACTCTAGACACAAAACTCAAAACGATAATCACTTGTAACACAGGCTGTCTAATGTTCAAAACATTGCATTGTGCATTCACATCTTTAAAGAAATCTTGCACTTGCACAATCATTAGTTCAAAAAACAAATTAACTGTGAAATACCATTGAAACATAACTATAGATCACCCACACACAAGCAACCGATAGTTTCACTGTGTCATTGTTCGTACAATCATTAAATATTGTAGAGCAAAATAGGTGATACAGGTTTCATTATGGTACTACATGTACAGTAAATACATCTCTGTAAAAGTACTGCAGTAGTAGAGAGAATATTACAGACACAGTGGAATCATTGTGAACAAAGTTTGTAATATATTGATGCAAAACACTACAGTACAATCACAACATGGTTTTTTGAATCAAAGCAAAAATAATTAGCTATGAAATAGAAAAGAAAAGACAGTACTGTAAAACATCAAATGCAGTGTTCCTCAACTTGCTGTAAGAAACTAAACAGGAGGGATTACTGTACTTCTACACTGTCATCAACTCTGTGTTGTGGATTTGGCCACAGGTTCTCATCTACATCACAATGGATGTTGGAAAATGACATCTTGGAAAAAACCTTTGGCATGGCGAGTCCAGGCCTGACACTGCTCTGCTGTGATTGGCAGAATTGGACACGCAGTTACAAGGGCCTGCATCTATACAGTACTGTACTGTCAATACTGTACATAGTCTGAAAAGGTGGTACAGTATTTGGCACCATAGACACAGTGTCTGATGAAGCATTACAGTATGATAAAATATTAGGCTACATCCATGGATATTGTAGTCTAATTGGTTCATGCTCCATGCTAATTGGTGACAATGAATCTCATTATCTTGAAACTTTCATGATTTACTGTAAACATGGAAGATTGTGTGTCTGTTTCCATACAACTATGCATTAAGAGTAATGCAACAGTTACTTATCATTTTGAGCAGCTGTATCAATTGATAGTTAGATCATTGTAAGGAAATGAATAGACACTCATTTGAAATGTAATGTGTGAATTGCCTTTTGAAATAGTAGTACTTTGATGTTAAGTTGTGTCATATTGAACAGGTGATCTTTGTTGAATGAACAAATGATCTAAGTTTTATGTGTATTGTATCCAAGCAATTGAGAAAAGGGTTAGAGTTTTGAAAATCATTTTTGATCATTGGATGTGAGTTTTGTGTCTAGAGTTGTGAAAAATGACATCAAGGTTCTGAAAATAGTAACAAAGTGATTGTAAAAAACTGTAATTAAGTGAATAACTGAGTGATGATTGAGCATTATTGAAGACACCTGATGTTAACAAGCAGAATCTCTGAAGGAGAAAACCGGAATGTTTAAGTCACCATTATGGAGATAAGTATTTGTTTTAGTTGGGCTCTTGACCATTAACTTAAGATTTTGTTTGGTTGCTGTACATGAGTTATAACAGCCAGATGAACAATGAACTAAGGAGATCTGATAGTGTTGGTTGTGATTTAACATAATCATCATTTCACAATCATTTGACATCAATCGCTGAACTTATATTGAACCCAATTTCTGAGTTAAGTTTACCTTACTGTCATTGTAGAGCATACTATTTTTAGGCTTTTCAATGAAATTCAAATGATCAAATCAAGAAATAAAAAATAAACTTCTTAAAAAATATGTTGAGTAGGCACACACAGACATCAAGAATCAGCATATGAATCTCAGCAATGGTGACAAACAGATCATAAGCTCATTATTTATTCATGCAGCAATGCATGATGGGAGCCATGAATGAGTTTTGATTGGTGGCACCCAGAATGCACTGCAACATGCTTTATAATTGTCACCATTGTTGAGATTCACAGGCTGATTCTTGATGTCTGTGTGTGCCTACTCAAAATATTTTTTAGGAAGTTTCTTTTTTATTTATTGATTTGATCATTTGAATTTCATTGAAATGTCTAAAAATAGTATGGTCTACAATGACAATGCTGCTATTATTCGTAAGGTTAACTTAACTCAGAAATTCGGTTTAATATAAGTTCAGTGACTCAGGTCAAATGATTGTGAAATAATGATTATGTTAAAACACAACCAACACCATCAGATGACCTTTGTTTATTGTTCATCCGGCTGTTATAACTCATGTACAGCAACCAAACAAAATCTAAAGTTAATAAGTTAAAGGATAATTCCGGTATTTAACACTTTGAGTCTATTTTCTAGTTTGTTTTGGATGAACTAGAGTGGTGGACTTAGAAATTTTGACGATGGGTCCTGTCTCGACTTTTTGACTATTTTAGAATCGCCTCTGAGCGCTTCAGAGTGGCTGTCTACGGGCATGCTCAAACATGTCCTTAAAACAACCCTTAACGTTCGTTTTCAAAACTGTGCAACTCACCGAGTGGTTAGTGGTGTTCGTTGATGTTCCAAAACAAGTAGCGTAGCGAAATACAGTTTCTGTCGTGTTTTTTCCGAAACGGAAAGGGGTCTGTTTACATTTGGTTGTAGTCTTTTCGCTCGGTTCTCCGTCTCTCAGAAGGCTAGCGTGAGCTGAGCAACTGCGGCAAAGTGGTTGTCGCCATCAAGTGGCCGGGAGTGTGCTAATGCTTCAGACTCAAATATCGAGCGGAAGTTTATACGCGGTTGTGAGGTATCTGAAAAAATAGTTCCACTATAGCAAATAACACGGATTGAAAGGATACATTGCGCCGATATATTTGTTTTTAATCATCAACGAACACCACTAACCACTCGGTGAGTTACACAGTTTTGAAAACGAACGTTAAGGGTTGTTTTAAGGACATGTTTGAGCATGCCCATAGACATCCACTCTGAAGCGGTCAGAGGCGATTCTAAAATAGTCAAAAAGTCGAGACAGGACCCATCGTCAACATTTCTAAGTCCACCACTCTAGTTCATCCAAAACAAACTAGAAAATAGACTCAAAGTGTTAAATACCGGAATTATCCTTTAATGGTCAAGAGCAACTAAAACAAATACTTATCTCCATAATGGTGACTTAAACATTCCGGTTTTCTCCTTCAGAGATTCTGCTTGTTAACATCAGGTGTCTTCAATAATGCTCAATCATCACTCAGTTATTTACTTAATTAACTCATTAGCTCAGAGTTTAATTGGGTCGCTTAAAATGACCAAATTCCATGATGTTGAAGTTACATGAATATATTATGTTTGTTTAACGAAACATAGTTATGTGGAACCGGTGGAACCTGTTTACATTAAAAAGTTAAGTAAAGCCAAAATATAATTTTTTTGAGTGCAGTGAATCACACAAAAAAGTACATCATTATTCCATAAACACATTCATGCTCACAAACACACAATACAGTTCACATTCTGGTATATCCCTTTAAGAGTCTTCAGATCCTCCTCTAGCTATAGACCTTATGCGCCAGAGAAACAAACCCGCAGCCATCTTTAGAGTTTAGTCTTTGAATGTCTGTTTTTGCGGTAACTCTGTACATTTCTATGGCACCGCTGTCTAAGAGTATTTAGCTGAAGTGGATTTACTTGTTGTAGAGTTAACTAAAGTTAACATGAGCATTGTAATGTTTGAAGCAGATTTCATAACAACATGTCAGGGAAGATTTTAAAACGAGCGGTTCATTCATAAATCCGTAAGATCTTCTGTACTCAGTACTTTGTACTGTGAAGAAACCTTACCTTTCTACTCACTGTCTGAGTTTGGAAGTATGCAGCATCGCTGATGAAGTAAGCTTTTAAACCACTGTCTCATTATTGTGCACCGACGAAGAGTACTTTGTACCGTGAAGAATCCTTACCTTTCCACTTACGGTCTGAGTCTGGAAGTATGCAGCAAGTCACTGTCTGTCCCACGAGCCTATTCGACGAGTCTGACGACGCAAAGAGCCACGAACGTCCCTGTCTCTGCTTTTACCCTGTTTAAACTGAATAAAAACTTACCTTTTGAAGTCACTGTGGTTGTCTGCCTCTTGGCGTCCTCTGGTGTCTGCTCCTCCGGAGTGTGGTGAATAAACCCTTGGCCTTAACCCCGGTGACACTTCCCTTAATGCTGTGGAAATACAAACCAGAAGACTGAAAAGGTGCTTCAGAAGCTCTACAGACCTCAGTCAGGGTAGCGCCATTTTTATTTTTAGGCAGGAATGAAAATGAGGCTGTGAGGGATAAAACAGTGAGTTTAATGGTTTGCAATGTTGTTAACATACCGATTGTTCAGATGAGTAAACTTCTTTTCGAAAAAGGCAGTAGATAAAAACTCCTTAAAGTATGACCTTTATACAATACGCGTCATCCAAAATCACATACTTCCCTTATATAGTAGGCAAAAAACAGCATGTGACAAAAGAAGTACGTCACATGATAATGACAACATGGGAAATGTAGTATTACATTCATACTACACACACTATATAGAATGTACTTTATTATAGCAGTCGTGAAGTAATTACTTAAATTAAAGAAGTGTATCCCTCGTTTTTAAAAGCTTAATTTTCATCTGTGTTAAATTCAATATGGCGTCTCACCTGACTAAGGTCTTTTTATTTAGGGTCGTGACTCATCCCTTTACATTTGTTGGAAAGAATAAGACTCGATTCAACACATTTGCTACAAAAAGAAACAAAATAACATTTATTGAACATGCATCCAACCTAAACCTACAGCTTCGGAATAGATATTTAACAACACTGTCGTCAAAACTCGTTGGCGACTCTCCCCCCCTCCCATCTTCTCCCTCTGGTCATGTGCATTTGTTTTCAAAGAAGCCGATGAACGCACGGAGCCATGTCCACTGAGGTGTGTATGATACACAGAAGGCTATAAATGTTTAGTGTATGTGTGCAGTGCCGTAAAGCAATTCGTTACATCGCGAGACCTGATATCACACGATACTTCCTGACGCGGATCGCCGGCCCAAAGTTGCACGGGTGTTTTTTCCGCTCACAGGCGCTCGGGGGGTGCGAAAAGACCACCATTCAACCTGAAAATAGTCATATAACCATTCCAATGACTCCGAAGCTGTTCAGTTAAGGTAAAAAAACCCCCGACATAGTTCACCTTTAAATTAAATTGAATAAACCAATTTATTTTTGTTTTTTTGGTTGAACCAAAATTAATTCTCGATCAGTCTCTTTGTTTTTGGTGATTCTCTTTGAGTCTTGGATTTCTCGTTCCATGATAACACATGTTAACGTGCTTTGACTCTGTCTGATATATGGACTATGACTTGATTATACTTGTAAAGAAACTGCATTTGGATCCTCACTCTCTGAATGCTGTGTTTCCACCGTCAAATCATTACAACAGAAACTTACTGACTTCCCCAGCTTTATGGTAAATGGTAAATGGACTGCATTTATATAGCGCTTTCACAGACCCAATGGCCACCAAAGCGCTTTACAATTTGCCTCACATTCACCCATTCACTCACTCATTCATACACCGACGGGCGACGGCAGCCATGCAAGGCGCCATCCAGCTCGTCGGGAGCAGCTGGGGTTAGGTGTCTTGCTCATGGACACCTCGACACTTGGTCAGGTGGAACCGAGGATTGAAGCACCAACCTTCCGGTTTGTAGACAACCCACATGAACCACTGAGCCACTGCCGCCCTTTATGAAGCTCATCATCACTGAATTACTAACTGAATTTATTAAAATGAAACATGTTTATATCATGCGTGACTCTCAATCAAACTCAGTTATTCAGTGACTGACAGAGACTCGTGTGTGTGTGATGATCCTCATGTCTGTTCATAAACTGCAGGAACACACATGGATTTGGTGTAAAATTTGGGCAGATATTAGGAATAGGAAAAATATTCTCACAGCAGATATTCAGGTTAATATACTAAAGTTGGTCTTATAGATGTATTCAGAACTGAATTGAATTATATCATTTTTAACATTTTGGCTATTGTAGAGGATACAATATTATGAAAAACATTAATTTGACTGTTCTCACTTCAGTAATTGTGTTTTGTGTGTGTTAATGAGTGACTGTCTTCAGGGAAATGATGTGGAGTGTGTTTGCATATTGATCAGATCTTCAGTGTGTGAGAGTGTTTATAGTGCTGTGAGTTTAACACTTCATCACTGACACACACAACAATCTTCATCAACATGACCCTCATCATCATCTTCATCTGGACTCTCACAGCGTTTGCTCAAGGTTTGTGGAGCACAAGTTTGATATCAATTCATTTCTTCAAGTAGGCCTATATTGTCAAAGTTTTGAGTGTATTTTCTTGTTGTGTGTTTCAGAGTGTAGAGGACAGATCACCGTCACTCAGAGTCCCTCAATAACAGCAGAACAACCAGGAGGAACTGTGAATATCAAATGTAAAACCAGTACAGATGTGAGGAGATGGAATGATGGGGATGAAGGTTTATTCTGGTACTTACAGAAACCTGGAGAAGCTCCTAAACTCCTGATTTATTATGTAAAAAACCTCCAGTCAGGAACTCCATCTAGATTCAGTGGCAGTGGATCTAACAGTGATTTCACTCTGACCATCAGTGGAGTCCAGACTGAAGATGCTGGACATTATTACTGTATGAGTTTCCATTGCAGAACAGATTATTATAATTTTTGTGAGGATGATGAAACATTCACACAGTGATAAAGAGTCGTACAAAAACCTCCGTCAGTCAGTCACAGTGAACTGATACACTGACAGAAACTGCAGCTGCTCAAACACTTTCACACACACTACTGACACACAGAGGACAAATACAGGAACTACACATGCTCAAATCTCCAGTAAGGGCAGATAAATGACAGATGAGAACAGATTTAGACAGCGTTGGGCAAGCTACTTAGAAAATAGTGAGCTAAGCTAGCAGTTACTCTACATTAAATGTAGCTTCACTACACTGAAGCTCCACCCTGGGAAATGTAGCAAGCTAAGCTACAGCAATATGGCAAAAGTAGTTTAGCCTACTACATCTAAGCTATTTTTTTCAAAGCGCGTCTGTGTTGTACGTCACACATAGGCTCACTATTGGTGACGTTCAACCAGAAGCGCTGTGCAGTTATACTACGTGGCCATCTATCTATCCAACTCACTCGAGGCCCACAGAGAAGGAAATTAATACTTGAATAAAGTCGTTATTTTTGTTTGTTTTTTTGCGCTCAAAAAGTATTCTCGTCGCTTGATAAACTTAAGGTTGAGCCACTGTAGTCACTCGGACTATTTAAACGATGTCTTTAATAACTTAATAACCTTCATCATCATCTTCATCTGGACACTGTTATATTGTTTTATACTACAAGGTGAACAGTTTATATTTGAAATAAATCATTTAAATAATATAATTTTTACACAGCTTAACAATATGTCAAATAATATATAGCCTACTTTAAACTGAGAAATTATTTATTTTTCAGGCTGTAGATCTCAGATCACAGTGACTCAGACTCCTGTGAAACCTGCCAAACCAGGAGAAACTGTAGAGATGAGCTGTAAACTCAGTACAAGTGCCTCATCTTGCTACGCATCCTACGGCTGGAACCCCTGTGTGTCCTGGTACTTCCAGAAACCTGGAGAAGCTCCTAAACTCATCATTTATGCTGTAGATGATCTCTATGATGAGAGTCTCAGTCAATTCAGTGGGAATGGAGAAGAAGGAGGAACAGATTTCACTCTGACCATCAGTGGAGTCCAGACTGAAGATGCTGTACATTATTACTGTCAGAGTTTACACTACATCAACAGTAAAGATGTGTTCACACAGTGATAAAGAGTCGTACAAAAACCTCCGTCAGTCAGAGTCACAGTGACTGAACTGAAACTGCAGCTGCTCAAACACACACATATATGACAGTTTTGATCATGATTTTTCAGAAGTCATTTCTCTCCTGATATTTTCAGTCCTTTGTGAGGAAATTCAGACACATTTGATCTTCTAGTGGATATTTTTCAATCTTTCACCATATTTTTGTTTTTCTGCATTTATGATTTATCCTCATTCTTCTGTCTAAACTGAATCACTGCATCATAAAGATGTTCTGCTTGATTAGTTTAATAAGTCTATCGATTTTTTTAAGTTCATCCTTCATTTATTAACAGCATCACAAAACACAACTCTCAATTTCAGAGCATATGAAAATTTATATAATTTAAATTAATTTCTTTACACAATTAATTTTAAAATGAAAGACCAGATTACCACCAGGTGTAGTCCGACCACCATCAAAAAAACATAATGTATTTTATATTTATTGTGTAATTTAACAGTGCTGTATATAACAGCTTTTTCAAACATTGGATCAATTTCAACATTTCAACCATCTAAACATTTCATACTGATGTTTTTTTTTTGTGTGTGCAATTTAACACATCCATGTACAGATGAAATGTATTTATAGTTCGTTTTTTTATATTAAAGATTACAGTTTGTTTATACACATGTGTGAATATAGTGTGTGTTGTGATGAACCAACATGTAACTCATAAAGATGAAGTCTTATTAACAAACTGACTAAAGAATCCATAAGCAGAAGTGAAACTGTTCTAGTTCAGAGCGTTTCAGTAGAAAATCTCATTTGCATTGTCAGGTTTAGTGATTGTGATGGTCTCAGAATAGAGCAGCTCGTCTCCAGTGACCATGTTCAAACCCCAAGAGCTTCATTTGACATTTACTGCTGAATGCAGCTGTTCTCAACTATTACAATCAATCAAAAGCAGCTGAAACTTTAGTGCAGGACTTTGAAGGAACGACACACTGATCAATGATGCAGTCACACACACATGTAAGCTTGCGTTCAGATGAAGCTTTATTGAATGAACAGCAATGGCAGCACATTGACAGACTGCTTCAGTATTGAGCTGTAAATCACGTGCCGCTCTGATACGCTGGTCTTCACTGGAGAAACATCAGCACTCGGAGCTCTTGAGGAACGAGGCCTCGTGAGCAGCTCCGGCATGTGTTCCTCTGCAGACCAAGCGCTCTCTGCCTTCCCAGCGTGCTTTGCTGAGGCTCAGGACGCTGCTGCGACTGTAGAGACCGCCCCGCTCGCTCTCTGCGCTGGTCTGAACCCCCTCGGTGACCTCTGACCCGTCCAGCGTCCAGCTCACCGTCGCCCCCTGTGGAGAGTAAGAGCTGAGCAGGCAGAGCAGAGCGGAGGAGTCTCCAGAGACCAGCAGAGACACGGAGGGAGACACGGAGGGCCCGGCTGAAACACACACACACACACACACACACACACACACACACACACACACACACACACACACACCAGAGAATCACCATCATTTCACTTTAATCATTTCACAAGTTACATTTTAATGATCCCCAGAATGAGTTTGAAAAACATTGTCCAAGTAAATTGATGATTATATTGTGATTTCATTACGATCTAGAAAACAAATTTAAATTATATTTTCAATATTAATTGTGTTTTGAAAATATTCTGCTATTCAGACACTCATAAACATTAACATCAGCAAATTTGATCGTTTAAATCGTTTAAATGATTAATTTTCTAAATGCTCTTCAACTAAGTTTCTTTTTGTTGTATGACCCTGACAAAATTATACTCATATTGGCCGTATTATCAAATTTTGTGTCATGCATTTAAAAATAAGTTAATTGTTAATTTTACCAAAAATTAAAGACAAAATTATGTATGAATCAACAATAAATTTAATAGATTTAAAAGTACTAAAGTCAATACATAAAATGAATGAAATATTAGCAATAATTCGATTTTAAATATTACATATAATATGAAATATATAAATTATAAAATGTAATAAAAAATTAAATAAATACAAATACTCATTTGATTTTTTTCAGAAGTTACAGAACAATTTAATCTCAATCTAATTTTTTAAAATATTGTCCACATTAAAATTGATTAATATATTGTGATTCCTTCATACGATTTAGAAATTAATTTTAAATAATAATTTTCAATATTAATTGTATTTTAAAAAATATTCTTCAATTTTGATACTCACAATCAATCGTAATTTTCAGCAGTTTCAACCATACATTATTTTTAAATCCTTTTGTTTATACTTACAATCATAATCATCAGCAAACTTAACCTTTTGAATTGTTGATTTTTTAAATCCTCATTACCTAAATTTCTCTTTGTCTGATGATGACGCTTACACAATTATAGTTATTTTGTCTGTATTATTAAACTTTGGAGGCATTTAAAAACCCCTTATTTGTTAAGTTTACTATTACAGTAATTATAGAAACAATTACATACATTAATAAATAATTTAATATACCATAAAATACTGCCATCCATTAAAATACAATCAAATGTTACCAATAATTTAAAAACAATATGAAATATGAAAGTAGATGATGAAATAAATAAATGATAAATTGCTTTTTAAATACAGATTTTTATAATAAATGAATTATTTTGTTGACAAATATTTGCTGAAATAATCTAAAAATAAAATAAAATGGATTAATTCAAATATCATACATGTTTATTAGAGAATAGAAGAGACTTACTGATCGTCAGTTTAGTTCCTCCACCGAAAGTGTACCACAGTGTTTCATTCTAGTGAAAGCATCGTACAAAAACCTCCGTCACACTCAAATGAACACACACACACACACGCCAGCAGAGAAAGAGACGAATGACACACACACACACACACACACACACACACACACACACACACACACACACACACACACACACACACTGATATGAGACTCAACATCATGATTATTGAACTGAAGTGACGTTCACAGAAACAGCCTCATCGTCTCTAAATGTCTCTTAATGCATGAAAACTATTAAATCTAAATAAATAATATAATCAGAAAGACTCTGTAGTGATATTTACACATTTGAGGAGTTTCTAAATGATCGTGTGTTTCTCAAAGCATTTGAATAAGTTTTGATGACCTGTGACCTCTGGAATGACCTTTGACCTCTCATGGAGTTCACAGTGAAATACTCGTTTCTTTTAGTGATGAAACTCTGTCACTCGATTCATCAGAAAGTCTGAACTCTGAACCAGAGACTCATGCAGAATAAAGAAGAAATGATTTCTAAACTTGTAAAGAAGTGAAAACACACTCATTGATCATGAGAATAAAACACATTAAAGGCATAAACTGGATCAGTTTCGTCTGCATGTTCATGTTCATGTGTGTTTTCCTCCAGCTGGTTTTTGCTCAGAGAGTCACTTTGCATCGGCACGTGTTTCAGCTCTCCGAGTGTTTATAGCCTTCAGACTCACACACTTTATAACACACGGCTGTTTACCACGGTACAAACCCAACACACACCATGAATCTCTTCAGCGGCTTCATCTGGATTCTGACAGCTTTTATTCCAGGTAACAGAAGTCAAAGCTCGTCATTTCTGAGTCTTTAATGTTCATTTCATTTGATGAAACTCATATAATGTTGTTGTCGACAGCATCCAGAGGAATCACTGTGACTCAGCCTGAAGTTGTGACTGTTTCTGAAGGACAAAAAGCCACTATAGAGTGTAAAACTAATCCTGGGATATATAGCTTGGGTTTAGCTTGGTATCAGCAGAAACACGGAGAAGCTCCTAAACTCATCATTTATGCTGTAGATGAACTTAATGATGAGAGTCTCAGTCGATTCAGTGGGAATGGAGAATATGAAGGAACAGATTTCACTCTGAGCATCAGTGGAGTCCAGACTGAAGATGCTGGACATTATTACTGTATGAGTCGACACGAGATCAACAGTAATTATGTGTTCACACAGTGATAAAGAGTCGTACAAAAACCTCCGTCAGTCAGAGTCACAGTGACTGAACTGAAACTGCAGCTGCTCAAAGGAGGATCTGAAATAACAATATAGGCAATAAGTAGCACTTAAAAGTCAATACCAAATCAAAACTAGCACATTATTTGTAATTGAAAAGGTTTAATGACAAAACATAGTTATGGTTAAACTTAAAATAGTTACAACATAGATGAATGAGATGATTATAACTTATATCTATATATTATACTGTAGGCCTATATTATATTATATTATATTATATTATAACTTGTACCCAGCATATATATGTAAAATGTTACCAGAGAGAGAGAGAGAGAGAGAGAGAGAGAAGAGGAGGTAAAGAGAGAGAGACAAAGGGACCCAGAGCATAAAGAGTCAGAGCAACAGTTACAATCTTCTTTTAGCCTTTCCCTGACCATGTGACTAAAACATAAATATGAGACATTCAAGGTGACCAATCAGATAATTACAACTTCCCCCACTGACAATTCACACATCCCCAAAATACACACATCTTACAGGCCATGATCACTATCAGCCCCTCAAATCCAAATGGTCACTAGCCGCGTTCCCACTGCCGGGCCGAACCGTATAGTGCGTGCCAGAGCCAGTCGCGTTTCCACTGTCACTTCCGGGGCTTGATCGGGGCTTACTCGGGGCCAACGGCCAGGATTTCTGGCCGTCGAATACCTTGGGCCAAAGCGGGCCAGCTCGGGCTAGAGGCGTGCTCAAGGTAAAAGGCATAGTTTATCTGTCTTATAGGGAAAGTTATGGTCTGTGGCAAGATGCACATTTCACTTTTTTATATCATGCAAAATAATCGCTGCTCGAAATGGAGAATCGCCTGTACTGGTCTGTCGAAGATACCAAAGCTCTTCTGAGCATTCGGGCAGAAGAAAGGGTGCAACGTCAATTTGACGGCGTGCGCAGAAACGAGGATGTTATAAAATAAACCGTTGCTGAACTTGCTAAGCTAAGCATTCGGCGAACAACGCTTCAAGTTCAGGAAAAAATAAAAGAGTTGCGGGTGCACAGCCCATTCTCATCCCTAGGCGTCA